CGAGCGAGGTCTTGCCAGCGAGAGCAACTCCAGGCTGCCGTGGGTTTTGCCTTCCCTGCGCAGTGTGCCCGGACGGGTGGAGGTGAGGCACAAGCTAGAGATGGGCCATGTCCGTCTGTCCTGGTGGCAGCACGTTCCTGGTGTCTGCACAGCCGCCGTCTGCCGGGACGGCCGGGCTTCCTTGGTGTGACTGGCAGGGATGCAGTGGGTGCCCGTGGGCTCCTGCCAGGGCAGGATGGGCTCCGAGGCTGTGGGTCCGGCACTGCGGTGCCGCGGCGCTCTGCCAGCTGCAGCGAGGTGGAGGAGAGGTGAATTTTTCTTCATCTTCGTGTCACACCTTTTTGAGCAAATTAGAAGGGCTTTGGTGTGTTGGCGAACTCGTCCTGCACAGCTGTGACGAGCGATTTCTCAGTCCTGCCTGGCTCTGCCTCGCTGAACCGTTTTAAATTAGCTGAAAACGAGAAGCCGGAGAGCAGGAGTGAGAGGGAGCAGAGGGGTCGTCTGGCCCTTCCTCCTGGGAAGAGCTCTGCTGATGAAGCTTTGCAGGAAGGCTTTTATGAAAACGAGTCAAAACCACAGCTACGTGTGAGCACTGGAGTCGGAGGATATAAAAATCCCCTGTTGAGGGGGAAGCTGTGTTGGGGTGCACGGAGGGGGCTAGTAACCTCGCAGCGTCCTGGACCAGAGCAAGGTGGGGATGTGGGCTCATGGGCAGCCAAAGCCAAGGACCTGTGCTTGTTCCTCAGATTATTTGGAAAATCCCATTAGCTGTAAAAGCAGGAGAAAACAGTCATGTTTGTTCTGTAATGAGTTGCTTTCCTTTTTACTTTCACCAAAGTCTACCATTTCTGCATGCAAAAAGAATGAAAATTATCATTAAAGCTGAATTATGGTGGCATTTAAAAGGCAGGGTAAAATTTATGGCCAGAGATGCTATTACAAAATACCTCCAGGATAGGTAATTGTGTAATTATTACGGACAGAAATGAAAGTGATGGTTCATTAAAAGAAAATGACCATGAAATAACAATAAATAAAGCCAAATGAAAGCCATGGTAACTGCACAGCCCATCCTGCCCGTGTGCCGGTGGGTGCGGGGCACAGGGGTGTGTGGCTCCTGGCTGCAGCTCCCCGACGGAGCAGGATGCGAGGGACCAGCAGAGTTGTCACTGCCTGCGCTGACGTTAGGACGTGGCCGGCCCCTCTGCACCACAGCGAGTGTGTCTCTGCCCTGGCCCCAGGCTGGAGCATCGCTGGAGAGCGGGTCCTGGGACGGCTCCTTGCGTCCTGCCTTTTTGTCTCCTGGCCAGTGCTTGGACACGGTG